CCCAGCTCCACCCATCGCTCCAGGACCAACACCAGTCGTTCTGCCACCATGTTGTGTCCTGGGGGGTTAATGGGTGACCGTATTCCTAAATCTCAATCAACGTACTGAATCACAACTACTCTGATGCGTAAGCTGGCCTCGTCTCCGTTCCACCTTAAATCGCCGCGACTTCCGTTCACTGCCGTGTCCTCCTGAGGATCTTGAACATGTATGTACCAGGATTTCTTGTATGTATTCTTGTCTGTCCAGACATCACTCCCACTAAGTCAGCGTGCAAGCCCTGTCTGTCCAGGCCTGCTGCCCGGCGTGGCTATGCTCTTGCCCTTGCCCCTGCATGCAAGAATCGCTGCCCGCCCAAGCATAAAACAGACAATGCATGCAACAATTGCCCTCTGTCCAAACATACCATGCGTTCAGAAATCATTGTTCGAAGCATTCAAGGTCCGGGTTCGGGCCTGCTGCGAAGTCGACTGCGTTCTCTCTCCTCCATCACGAAGTTCTGCTTCCTGTTGGGTGGGATTTATGGTCATTCGGGTTAAAGCCTCATGCAGTCGGGGCCTCAAGTCTCTTAATGAGGTACTTCACCATGCTCTCGTACGTCGCGAAGGGGTTGGCGTTGCCCCTGGAGTTTCAGGGTTTAGGGTAAGTTGAGGGTTTAGGGTTTAGGGGTAGCAACCTCGACCTCAGGTGTAGCTTCATTTGCACTTTAAATTGCCTGTCCAGGCATTCTCTTTGCAAACAGCACCTGCTCCCAACTCTGTCTATCCAGACATTTCTTGAGGCTTCAACTTGTTGACAATATGAAATGCACCCAGGCGGCTTGAAGATCCTCAAAAGGAAGGTGCGGCACGACTCGTCCTTCCCCGGCTGCCGACAGCTTTCTTTAGCCGCCAAGGCCATGAGGGCCTCCAGGTAGTCTGCGAACGGCACGTCGCAAAACGGGCCGTTCACCCAGATAGCTCGCATGTTCCTTAGATCCGAAGCCATCACTCGCATCACATAACATGTCTGTCCAGACACTAGACCTGCAGGCACGTGTCTGTCCAGACACCAGTTCAGAATTCATGCGTGGCAAGCGGCTCTCGCCACAGGCGAGACATCGTGCCCTCAGTGACCTCTCGGCGGTCGGCCATGCCCTTCCCGCCAAGAGTCGAGGGGACATCGCGACCTCGCCGGTCTGCAGCTCCTGGCCGGTTTTGGGGTGAGCTTTGATTTGTACAGTTTGGAGTGAAGGGCGGTCCTGTCCCCAGGCGGGTGTCAGAGCTTCCCTTCCCCGAGAGCTCGCCCTTCATCTTGGGCCAAAGCTAGCGGGACATGCAGACGTTGCACTCCAATCCCACCTGATCCCCAGTGTCTGTCCAGACACTAGTGCGTGAGATTACCTGCCTGTCCAGGCATTGAAAGCAACCGGAACCTGATCTCCAGTGTCTGTCCAGACACTACAGTGCGTGAGATTACCTGCCTGTCCAGGCATTGAAAGCAACCGGAACCTGATCTCCAGTGTCTGTCCAGACAGTACTGCTGGCTCCCCTGTCCAGACACTAATGCTTGCAAAGAGTTACCCCGGGCAACATTTTTTGCTCACACAGCTTCCCCAGACGGAGCACCAGGTTTGAAACATCTTGAGATCTAGATCTGGACCATCGATGACTTCGCCTTGGAATGCAGCTTGTCCCTTCGCTCCAGCACTTCGGCCAGCGACTTTCCCTGCTGCAAGCATTTCATAAGGGCTCCGGCACGACGACTGTTGGATTCCAAGTCACCCCCCGAGACTTGAAAAAGTTGGCGACCTCCCCGGATCCGCACCGCCACCCTTTTGTTCTCTGACTTCTTGTACGGCATCAGGTAAAGGTTGCTTACGTCGTCCCTTGTCAAAACCATATCTTTCGTTTGGATCTTCTCCTTCTTCTCCTTCTTGATGAGGCCCTTCTTCGGCGTCTTCTTCGGCGTCTTCTTCGGCGTCTTCTTCGTCGTCTTCTTCATCGTCTTTTCCATCGTCTTCTTCATCGTCTTCTTCATCGTAGCACCTTTTGATTTCCCAATCAGATCTTTCAAGGTCTTCTTTCGACTTGGCACCGGCGAAGTCTCTTCGGCTGCCTTGAGGATCTTCGAGGCCGGCGGGGTCTTTGGGCAACTCATGCTCTCATCGCAGCTGTCCTGGGTGGCTGGCAACTCCAAGCTGTCAAGGAAGGTCTCGAACTCCTTGGTCTTGCTGCTTGGCTTCTTCAGGATGCTGGGCGCCTGCTTGGCGACAGCACCGCCCTTGGCCTTGTCCTCGCACTTCTTGATCCTGCCCTTGTCCAGCTCCTCTTGCTCGTCCTCGTAGTCCTCGTGGAGCCGTTGCAGCTCTTCTCGCAAGTTCTGAAGCTTCATTATCTGCCAGTCACACAGGCCCTTGCAGCACTCCTTGAACCTCTGCGGGTCTCGCAGCCTTCTCGCATGGCAGGCCAATGTCATCGTTTGCTCAGCCAGCTTCTTCGCGATTGAACAGCTGTCATACCCGGCGTAGTTCTCCTTAAGGCACGGAAAGGTCATCACGAGCTTCTGGTAGACACACTTCAGATCCTGATACTTGAAGAGCAACATCGGCTGTGCCAGCATCAGTTTCTCGATGAAGGTCGTCAAAACTGCCAAGTCCGAGCCGACCACCGCCTGCGTGCAGGTGCTCACAGGATTAGGGGTTCAAGTCATGCTGCGTGCAAGAGTTCTTTGCATGTGTCAGCAGGCATGGAAGGACTAATACCCAACATGGACTGCATGCTCCCGTGCTCTGGCCTGGGTTCGCAGAACGGAACGGTAGGACCGAAAGTTGAAGTCGCCTTCCTTTTTCACAACGTCGGCCAGCAGGTCCTCCAAGTGCCCCAGGTCCGTGGGCGGCACCTTGAGCCTCCGAGCTCCGCCTTTGGCGGCCATGTCTCGGACCTACAAGCGATCTAGATCCAAAGTGATAAACCCAAGCAAACTGAGGCATCTTGTATTTAATTCTCAATTGGCTGTGCCTGCCTGTATGAACCAGTTCCTCTCGGGATATCTAGATTCCACAGCCGTAAGCCAAACTGAGGCACCATCTCAAATCTTCTGTTCCTCTCAAGACCTGATGCCCCTGATTCCACAGTGCCTAGCAAGCACAACTCCACACAGCCTGTCCATGTTTCAACAAGCAAACATCCATGTCTGTCCAGACATTACCCAAAACTGTTGTGTCTCTCCAGACATGCAACCCTATCTAAACCATAATTAGTAATACTAAACTGTCTGTCCAGACATGACTCAAAACGGTTCTGTCTGTCCAGACATGCGACCCTACTTAAACCTAACAAGATTGTCCCCAAAATTGTCTGTCCAGACATGCAACCCTATCCAAACTAAAATACAAAACTGTCTGTCCAGACACAGCCCAGAAATATTTTGTCTGTCCAGACATGCAACCCTATCCAAACTAAAACACAAAACTGTCTGTCCAGACACAGCCCAGAACTATTTTGTCTGTCCAGACATGCAACCCTATCCAAACTAAAACACAAAACTGTCTGTCCAGACACAGCCCAGAAATATTTTGTCTGTCCAGACATGCAACCCTATCCAAACTGAAACACAAAACTGTCTGTCCAGACACACCCCAGAAATGTTTTGTTGTCTGTCCAGACATGCAAACCTATCCAAAACTAAAACACAAAACTGTCTGTCCAGACACCACCCCAAAAACTATTTCGTCTGTCCAGACATGCTAATTAAACCACAACGAAAAAGTGTCTGTCCAGACACAGCCCAAAGCAATGTTGTCTGTCCAGACATGCAACTCTATTCAAACCATAACACAAACCTGTTTGTCCAGACACAGCCCAAAACTGTTCTGTCTGCCCAGACATGCACCCCTGTCTAAACTGTAACTTAGAAGACATCTACACACAACCCAAACATGTCTTGTTTGCAAACTATAACGAATCATGGTCTGCCCAGACACAACATAGACCCAAAAGTGTTTGTCCTTGCATGAGCACCGATCAAAAGTGTCCAGTAGATCACACGGCCGATGCATGCATCGAGAAGCGAAACACCCAGCATGTCGGGAAAAAATCAATAGCGAAATCAATAGGTGGAAAACCGTTTTTATAAAATCAATAGAGGAAATTATTTTTTCAATAGAGAATTCAACCCTCGATTTTTGAGTTTCATAAAAATCAATAGAAAATTCATTGAAACGATGTGTTTTGGCATGAGTGCACAAGAGAACCGCTATTGAAAAATCCTTGTTTTCAATAGAAGATTGATTTTGCAAAAAAATCAAGCGTGAGATTGATTTTTTTCAATATTGGAGCCTTTGGGAATATAAGAACGAGAGCGCTTACTCCAGAAGCGGAACGTCCTTGGTTTGGGTTTAGGGTTTTATTTAAACTATAGAGTTTGTTTTTGACTAGAGAGTTTATGGCTTATAGGGTTCACGGGGGATTTAGGGGGGTTACATACAACGCTGCTGAGTATCACTCTTGAATCAACAAGCCTTGCGCATAGCTTGCGCTGGCCCTTGCGCGCGATCGAAAGGGTGTGCACTTTTTTAAGCGACCGAGTTTTCGCTAATCGCCCTCCTAATATTGTCACAAGAGCCCCCCAAAAAGAACAACGCTCATATGAATATAAACATATGTATACATACATGTAGCGAGAGAGAGAGGCACTCATCAAAACAACATTACTTTTCTGAGTTCTTGAAGCTTGCCGGACTTGGGCATTGACAGGGGTGCAGTTTACGTACAGTATATGTCAAGGTGAATATGCTGTCATCGTTGTTATTATTGCTTTTCTAAGTAGTCTTGCTGCTGTTAGTATACTGCTATTCTTACTCGCGCTGTTGAAACTCTGCCTGGACCCTAAGAATCCTACCTTTTTAGGGTTCCTTAATATGATTTCCTTGTCTAAGTCCTTAAAAAGGGTACGGCTATTTGGTGTTAAGGTAAGCTCGGAATCCTCGACCCTACACCCGAAATCACGAGCCAAGCTGCCGCTTCTCCTCCGCTTCTTCTCGCTCCTTCCGGGCAGCATCTGCCCGGCGCCGTTCAGCATCGGCCTGCTCTGAGGGGCTGGAATACATGGGTGGCTGTCAAAATTAGGGTCCATTTTTGGGTACCCTAAATAACAGGTGACGTATTATAATCTGGACCCAAAAAGGGACCCTAATTTTGATCACCACCGACATAGCGGCCTTAATGATTCGAATAGCGTTTCGGGGCCCATTATACTATAACCATGTTAAGGAACACTCACAATAGTATTGATAATTCTTTGAGCACCCATATTACTTCCTTTTTGTTCAGGGCCCTGTCGGCCTGAGAGTCTAGGCTTTAGGAACAGGGGGAACTGTCACGGGGCGGCTTTCATTCATATCTTAACAGAATGTTGCGTCGTTGTGAGTAATAGCATGTATATATGCACGCATGCATCGCAAATGTTGGTATAACAACAAATGCACCATACTCATAAACCCAGGCCCCATTGCAGGCCGCTTATTAAACTGGTCGGGCCATGTTGGGCCCAGGGGAGATCCGAAACCCCAAACCCCCAACAACACCCTAAACCCTTAACCATTGAACCCTAAACCCTAAATCCCAAACCCTAAACCCCTAAACCCTAAACCCAAACCCCAAAACCCAATTATCTGAGATCCGAAATGCCGGCCTTTTTAAAGACTTATGTAAGGAAATCATAATAAGGGTCCTCAAAACCCGTAGGATTTATAAGGTCCGCCACATAAACTTTGGGAACCGGCCTGTTCCTGTCGCTTTCGCTCGAACTCCTCCTCCGCTCGTCGACGCTCGCGCTCCACTTGTGCAACCTCTTGGCTCTGAAATAACAATGGGTTTAGGGTTAAGGGGTTTAGGGTTTAGGGGTTCAGGGTTTAGGGGTTTGGGGGTTTAGGGGCTTAGGCTTTAGGAGGGTTTTGGGTTTAGTGGTTTAGTTTTTTGTTGTTTAAGGGGCTTAGGGTTTAGGGTTTAGGGGTGCAGGGTTCAGGGTAGGAGATTGGTTTAGGGGTTTGGTTCGTTTTAGGAACAAGTCCAACAAACAAGGGTAGAGTATTCACAGGGGAGAAGGAGGGACTGTTAATGGGGACCCCTACTCTATATAATGCGTATATAATGGCTATATTAAGGTTATATTAAGGTTATATACCTAGGGGTCCTTATTAAGGGTCCCTCCTTTTACCCTTGGAAGTATGGTATTCCAAAACCCAGGCCTGCTCGGCAGCATGCCGCTGTTCCTGCGTCTCGGGCTTACCCCCTTGTACTCAAGAGTCCTACTAAACTACATGGGTGGTTGTCAAAATTATGGTCCCTTTTTGGGATATCCTAAATCTGAGGTGCCGCATTATAATAAGGACACAAAAAGGGACCCTAATATTGACAACCCCCCACATACGCTTACGGCCTTCTATTTTGTGAAACTCCCGACTTCAGCCTCCAAGAAAGAGCCAACAGTCCAGCTACACATGCAATGGGAGATTGGGTCACATGGGTGGGGTCCTTAAAGGGATCTATTATGGTTTCTATAAGGCACTATAAGGGTAGTTCTCTAAAAAAGTAAGGATCTATAAGGGTGGTTGTCAAAATTATGGTCCCTTTTTGGGTCCCTGGTATAATACGGCACCTAATATTTAGGGTACCCAAACAGGGACCCTAATTCTGAGAAACACTCGCATACCAACAGGCACCAGATAGGGCGGTATCCAACATATCCCACTATTTGCAGCGCTAGGCACAAAGCATTTACGAGCTACATGCTGAGAAGACTGTGTACTCTCCTGAACCCTGAGCTGAACGGCTGAGAATTTGGATGAGCCTGCCAAGACCAGACTATGTGATCATAAGAAAACGGAGAGGTGTATCCTTTTGGCATGCTCAGCTCTCTGTAAACAAGCTTGCTCTTTCGGCCGCAAGATATAACAACAACAACAACAACAACAACAACAACAACAACAACAACAACAACAACAACAACAACAACAACAGCAACAACAACAACAACAGCAGCAACGGCAACAGCAACAGCAACAGCAACAGCAACAGCAACAGCAACAGCAACAGCAACAGCAACAGCAACAGCAACAGCAACAGCAACAGCAACAGCAACAGCAACAACAGGAACAGGAACAGGAACAGGAACAGGAACAGCAACAACAGCAACAGCACATGGGTCGCCCGCATGGGCCCTGTCTTGTGACAGCTTTGGCCGGTAAGTTGTGTCTAGACAATCATGCACTACGAAACGGTACTGAGGCTATCATAACATGTCTTAGAGTTGGCTCTGCCCTGGGTTACGACTTCTAAACCACGCACTCTGCAACACGACATTCTGTTGCCCGTCCTCCTTGCGGCGGCTAGCCTCTGCAGTCTCGTTGAAGGCGGAATCGAAGTCTACCGAGGCATCGTCTTCGTCCGCATCGATGCGGTCCGATGGGCTCCGGCCGCTTCCGACGGGATCTCGGCGTCCGTGCGCAGGTGGGCCGATGCTGCTCAAATTCAGGGGAGAGGACCTCATGCTCACTGCCAGTCTCACTTCTGCTGCTCCTCTATTTCGCTCTCTCTCTCTCTCTCTCTCCCTCTCTTTCTCTCTTTCTCTCTTTCTCTCTTTCTCTCTTTCTCTCTTTCTCTCTTTCTCTCTTTCTCTCTGCCTCTCTTTCTCTCTTTCTCTCTTTCTCTCTTTCTCTCTTTCTCTCTCTCTCTCTCTCTCTCTCTCTCTCTTTCCCCTATCTCCTTCTCTGCATCTTTCCATCGATCAGTCCTCTGTCTCTCTCTGCTGCCGCTGTTCTTGTGGTTTCCTTCTCTCTCGTTGTCCCTGACTCTCTCCATCTCTCCGCAGAACCCTAAACACTACACACCCAGACCTTGCAAACTCCCTTAATCAATGAATCTACCTCAAATTGAAGTAGGATCCGCAATGTATACTGCAACTATAATAAGGAGTACCACAACAATGTTGGTATTTATTTAAGCCCCTATACTGCACACAAACACCCTGGACCCACCAACTACCCCGCATGCAGACATAAACCTGGCCTTTGAAGCCCTTACAGTAAGCGCCCTTAAACATAAATAAACTCTAGCCTCCCCACAGTCGTAAACAAAAATAAAAAATCCCTCAACCCTAAAAACCATCTAAAACCCCAAACCCGAATGCCCTTTGTCCCTACGGCCCAAACTAAATCGTCTAAAACTTTAAACTAAATCCTCTAAACTCTAAACCCCCTAAATAAACCCCCACTACCCCAATAAGCCACAGAAAAACAAGGTTAAACATTCCGATTCCTACTAAACTATAAGCATCCAAAAGTTTAAAGGTTAGGTGTTTTGAACCTAAGAACCCTAAACCCCCTAGATCCTAAACCCGACGAGGGGCTCCGACTGACCGCCGGCACCTCGCGAGTCGCCCCTGCGCTGGAGGGGTGCAGTGAGGCCCAAACTGCCTGCAAGACGGCCCTCCATGCTCAGAACCTCGTTCAGGGTGCAAAGCTTAAGGTTCAGGGGTTTAGGGGCTTAAGGTTTGTAGGGTTTAGTGATCTTCAGGGTTTGCAGCATAGCAAGACGGCCCTCCATACTCAGAACCTCGTTCAGGCTTTGGGGTTCAGGGGTTTAGGGGTTGGTTGAGTGGTTTAGTAGTTTAGGGAGGTTAGAGTTGAGGGTTTTGGGGGCTTCGGGGTTTATTATAGGATCCTTAAGGGGGGGTGGTTCAAGGGGGGAGGGTACTAGGGAGCTTTGGGGAACCTTAGGGAAGCTTAGGGAGTATTGGGGAATAATGGGGATTACTAGGTTACCTACCCCCCTTGGACCACCCCCCCTTAAGGACATCCTAAGTTTAGGGTTCTAGGGTTGAGTGAGGGTTTCAGGGCCTGAGGGGTTATGAGGTGCAAGGCGCTGCGTTGGGTATCCAATAAACAACACATGCGTCTTCATTAATCACAGGGCATAGGGGAGTTTCAGAAAACTAGGGGTACCTTATATGGGGGTCCCTATAATAAGGATCCTACTATTTGGGGTACTATATTAGGGTCCCCTGTTTTCGGAAACTCCCATAGACTACAGAATAGAGCCCGTTTTGGAAAGGCCCCCACCTGCCGCTCGACGCTCGTGAGATTGTCAGCGAGCTGTCTCTGTGCATCTTCCAAGTTGTTCACACGGGCACTCAACTGCCGGGCATGGCCCACAGCAAGCGCTGCCAACGGCGCGGGGACCACCTTGAACTACCAAAACCTACGTTTTGTTGTAGGTCCCCATAAGATCTATCTATCTATCTACCTACATATATATATATATATATATATATATATATATATGGGATCTATGTGTATCAATAAATGTATATGTATACACACAAGAAGTGCCTATAAGATCTTCTATATACATTCAGGTTTCCAAGTTTCCAATAAGAGCCTTCCGAAAACAAAAGGTTACTTGGAGGTTCATGTGACTGAGTAACTACAGCTATAAGTACCTTGACTGGCGTTATAACTACTTATAAGTCCAGTTACTTTTTATAACCCTAGTTACTCAGTCCCATGAACCTCTAAGTAGACCCTAGACCCTAAACCCTACAGATCCCTTCAAGGAACCCCTATAGAACCCTTTAAAGGGACCCTTAATTATAACCCTAGTTACTAAGTCCCATGTTCCTTCAGGTCCAGGTAGACCCTAAACCCAAAACCCTTACAGGGAATCCCTTTCTAGAACCCTATAGTACCCGCAAAAGGAGCCCCTCGTAACCCTAGCTACTAAGTCCCATGAACCCCGCAGTAGACCCTGAACCCTAAACCACCCTAGACCCCTTATAGAACCCTTTAAAGAGCTCCTTAAGGAACCCTTTAAGTTACTAAGCCCCATGAACCTCTAAGTAGACCCTAAACCCTAAACCCTACAGATCCCTTTAAGGAACCCCTATAGAACCCTTGAAAGGAACCCATAGTTATATCCCTAGTTACTAAGTCCCATGAACCTCAAAGTATGGAAGCTTAAGCCCTACACCCTATAGATCCCTTTAAGGAACCCCTATAGAACCCTTTAAAGGGACCCTAGTTACTAAGTCCCCTGAACCTCACAGTATTTCAGTTTAAGGCACGGCAGAGCTCTCAGCGACCAGACCCGGGAGGAGGCGCCGCAACGCACCTTGTTCCCCTAAGGCTTCATGTACCCATATAGTAGATACTTAGGCCTTAAAGTACCAACATAGGGACCCCTTTAAGGCTTAAGTATCTACTATAAAGGTACATGGAGCCTTTGGGTTCATGGTTGGGATAGGATTACAAAATTAGGGTTTATAGGGCTTAAAGGGCTTATAGGGCTTAAAGGGTTTATAGGGTTTGTAGGGTTTATAGGGTTTATAGGGTCTATAGGGCTTATAGGGTTTATAGGGTTTGTAGGGCTTATAGGGTTTAGGGTTTAAGTACCCATAAAAATGTAAAATGTTACCCAACTATAACAAAGGCACTGCCAGGATCCGTGAGCTGACGCCGAAGAGCTGTCTCTGCAGCCGGCGTGTCCGTGGATGCAAGCCTAGGAACCCAAGTAGCCTACAGGAGCCCAAGTAGCCTAGGAACCCAAGTAGCCCGAGAACAGAAATGGGCTCCGTTTATGGTATCAGGTCGGTTCACAAGGAACTTTAAGTCAAGGAATTTCAAGACGACAAAAAGTAAAAAACAAAGAAAAAGAGGGCCCACTGAGAGACCTAGAAGCCAGCACACAGTGCCCCGGCCCTGTGCACCCAGTGCTCCGCGGCCCTCAGGGAGGGTGTCCACGCGAACCAAATTTACGGGGACCTCCCTCAGCGCACTTCGAATGTTCTCAGAGCTCGCAGACTCCGAGTGCTCATCCACCCAGTTCAAAGTGAGCATCATGGTGGAGTTCCTGAGAAGGGACATCTTGAAGGGTTCCATAAGGGGCTTTTGACCTATACAAGTTCTGTAAGGGATCTCTACCTTTAGAGTGTGAAGGATCATGGGAGTCAGCAAATATTAGAGGTGCACAGCCATCGCTGTGACTGCTAAGAAGGAAAGGTTAGACCAAGGTACCCCGACTTGGACAAACATAAAGGGAGTGCGGGAGTGGAAATCGGTAAGCTAACATGTGTTCAAGTACAATTAAACAATATGGAGCATTCTCACATAGTATACAGATGTCATATACTGTTGTGAGAGCCGTATACTGTGAGCCGGTCTGGCATTCCATGCCGAGGTCACCACTCTCTAAGCAGGTATGACAAAAACATTGCTAGCAAGCTACATACATGCGTACATACATACATACATACATGCATGCATGCATGCATGCATGCATGCATACATCCGAGAATGGATGAATACACATAAGCAAAAACATGTATTTATGAGTGTGTACATATGTATGTATGTACATACACATACGTATGTATATAAACAGATATACATATATATATATATATGTATGTATGTATGTATATACACACAACATGTTACAGTATAGATATAAATATACAAATATGTGTGTGTATATATATATATATATAGATGTGCATGTATTATGTACTTACTTACACATGCGCCTAGTACCCTGGCTTTTGGAGGGCGTTGGGGATCGTCTCTGCAAAGCCTCGGCGGCGCCGTGGACGCCGGAAGACTGCTCAACTCGAGGCCGCTGCTCTCGACACTCTGAGTGGTCGGGAGCTGGTCGAAGAGATCCTCGGATTCTAGGGCTCCGTTAACCCAAAGGGTCCATGTACCCAAATAGTGTATACTTTGGGTCCAATGTATCGATATAGGGAGTACTTTAAGGCCAAAGTATATATTATACGAGTACATGGACCCTTAGGGTAATTCACGGCTCGACACTGGGGGTCGAGAAGGTCTCAAGCGTTTGGGGCTGAGGGCTTTAGGATTTGGGGGCTAAGGGGTTTGAGTTCGGGATTTCCCAAAGCGTCTACATACCCAAATGGGGGAAAACCTATGCTGCCCACATATCTACTGCATCTGCTATGCGTGTTCAGGTTTGATTAAGAATCCTTGGCTCGATAAAAGACCTAGAGTGAAGGTTGTAGGATCTGCGATTGCGCGGCTTCGATATTTGGCTTTGGGGTTCAAGGTTTGGTTTCGGGCTTTCGGTTTTGCCTCGTCGGCGAGGTCTTGGTGTCAACAGTTCAATTCATTCCGTCGGATCTCACGATGATGAGGATCACGATGATGAGGACTGTAATGATGAGGACAATGATTGTGATGATGCCGATGGTGGTGATGGCCTCAGTGATGCAGATGACGGAGATGTTGGATAATGATGAAGTCGGCGCATTTGTTGATGGCGCTACTGACGACATGAACGATGATAATGGTAAAACGTTTTGTGACCAGTTCGCGTATGTAGACCCAAGGATTCCGTCCGCGAGGCCTTATGGCTTGACTATTTGTGATAGTATGACTGCTCCTCTGCTTCTTTGCTTTTGCTGACTTTATATTACAGTTTTATGATCTTGCAACAGAACCAGGCACTAACAACGACGATTGCTCCGACCTGGCGTGCGTTTTCGATAAACACAAATCTGGCAATGGTAAGTCCTGCCGGGATCTTTCAACCAAGTCATGTTCACACTGATGACCTTGTCGTTTTCCACAGCGCCCGGAGTTGACATGTTGTTACTCGTGAGGGAAATTTCAAGTCATGCGCACCTTCCTCTTTCATGTTGCTGGTATTTCTTCCCTTCACTTTAACCAGGTTTAGGGTTTGGGGATTAGGGTTTAGGGTTGGGGTTTGGATATAGGGTTTAGACTTGGGGATTAGGCTAAGCCCCGCCAACACAAATGTCGTCATCCCCGCCATCGCATGTGCGAAGCAGGTGTTTTTTTGCACAGGAGTCTCATTGCTGGCACGTGCGTACTCCACAGGATATGCGGTGTAAGCGGTGTAACATCCCCGGCGGGTCCAGATATACTACGACTAGGGAATCATACCCCGAACAACCACAGTAAGGATGGCCGGTTGGGACATGATTCCATGATCGTTACGGGTGAGGACGTTGTGGCAGGCACTCCATGATAACCTTCTTCTCGTAGCTACATAGCTAAAAAGCACATGCACCTGGGTGTTGCGAACATGAGAGGTTGAGGTTCAGGGCTCCCAATATAGCACTAGATAGCCTCAATACAATACTTGTAGGATCCTGACCTTAAAGACCCCTTACGTGCGGGACCAACAATTTCAGAACTCCCTCCATATACACCCTAAAAACTCTCAACCCGCCCCAAAACCCTTGAAGCCCTGAACCCCTCTGCACCCCTAAACCCAAAACCCGACACCCTAAACCCTGACACCCCAATACCCTGAATAGCCCAGGGTCTTCCAATCTGCTGAGGCGTGCATCGAATCGCTCCCTGCTAGGACCTGGGACTGTGCTCGTAAGGTCTGGTGGCTGAGGCTTTACCAAAACTTCTCAGGGGCCCTTTAGTAGAGCCCGTATGGCCCTTAATAGTGATTGTTTGGGATACATTCGAGCGTACTTGGGGGGTCTATAGGGTTTACATAAAGTTTAGGGTTTAAGGTCGAGGGTGGTTAGTGGACTTCCCCTTCAATTACGCCAATGCTAAATTCCTGAGTGGCCCCTTTATGATTCGGGTGCCCTCTTTCCTACTACTCGGCTTTAAGAAGGGGCCCCTGAAATAAGAAGGGCACAAGTGTACGTCTCAGGAACCTAACCAACCACCACCACAACACATGGCAAATAGCATAACGTAGCTTTGTTGCTGAGTTCATAAGCCCCAACAAATGTACACTTTTGTGGTTTTATAGTGGGTAATCTTATCCCAAAATGTGTGAAGTGTATCCACTCGGCTACTAAAGGGTAGCAACATCAAGGTTCAAGCTCACATGAGCGCAATCGACCCTGCACTATGACTTGTCGAAAAGGCAGAAAGAAAGCAGTGCGTTGTTGTCGAAATTATGGCTCCATTTTGGCCACCCTAAATATTAGGTGCCGTGATATATTAAGGACCCCAGAAAGGACCATAATCACACGTATCCCTATAGGGCCTCAAACACCCCGTGCAAAAGGCATGTAAGCTTAACAATCCCACCGGGGTGCTTTCTGGACTTTCGGCCTGTGCCCGAGTGGTCACCGGCTCGACGCGAGTGGGCTGGTGGATCGCTCGCCTTGGGGGCTTCGGTTTCGGGTTTCGGAATTTCAAGACTCGAGGGTTTGGGGCTGTAGAGGGTAGGGGCTTAGGCTTGACAGTTTCGGCTTTAGGAGAAAAACACTAAACCCAAACCCGTTTTCGGGTTTAGCGGCTTAGGGTTGAAGGACAGTTTGAGGTGTAGGTTGCAGGGATCCGACCGAGCTCAGTGCTTTGGCATGCTAGGGTCCTACAACGGCTCATCACATGTTCTACTATTTGCTTAAGAACCCCCCCAAAAAAATAAAAAAAATATTCCTTATAGGGATTATTATTTTTTATTTTTTGGGGGTTCTTAAGCAAATAGTAGTGTTGCAGGAGTATTCTTTGAGGAACTGTGAAGTTTCGGGTCAAGGGTTCCGGAGTTTTGGGCTTGTACGTAACTGATCACAAAAAAACATGCTGCACTCCTCCCACATATTGGGCTCCAGGGCAGTGAAAGTTGAGGGTTTTATCACGCATAAAGTCATGGGACCGAGTAGTTCGGGTTGTAAATATGGGAACTATATGCTTATTCTTGCTGAGAGCCCCCAACACACGTACTTACTGACGAAGTCCCCACAACCCTAAAAACCTATAGAATGCTTGTAGCCCCTTCCAGAGCCCGTGTAGTCCCTTTGCAGAAAACCCCCCAAAAGCCCTTACAGGCCATACATTCTACGTCGTACTACGATCCGTCCAAGCAGGGTTTAGATCGGACACTGAGCGTGCGGATATCATGGTGCCGGACTTCATGGGGTTTAGGCGGGGTTGAAGGGCTTGAAGTGTTCGTGGTTGAACGTTGGGGTTTAGGCCAGACAGTATCACGATCAAGAAGCTTCAAGGTGCAGACGGTGCAGAATGCAAAGAAATTAATTGGCATGCTACCGGGTATAGGAAGCCTAAACCTAAACCCTTAGCCTTTTTTTGGGAGGGGGGCGAGGGGGGGGGGGTGGGTTTGTCGGCACCTATGAAGTCTCGATCCAGGGTTCCGAGGCTGAAGATTCCAACTCGGGCGTCTGGTAGCTTCAAGTTTTTGTTTTTGCAGGGGGGGGACTTGTGTCTTTGCTGTAAGGGTTCCTTTAAGGGTTTATAAGGGTAATGTGCCGGTCGGTTTAGGAATATGGGCTCTTTTAATGCGTTTTTTCCGGGGCTAATTCCGACCGGTCGCCCCAAATTGGGGTGGTCTAATTAATGCGTTTTTTTTGGCTGGGGGTATTTTATGGGGGCGGGGCTGTGCTGTTTGCTGATGGTCAATCTTAAGGCAGCCACGACCTGAAGCCCCCACCCAAACCCTAAAACCCTGGCCCTGAAGACCTAAACTAGGCATACTTAAGCCTAACACCTGAAGCCCCCACCCAAACCCTAAAACCCTGGCCCTGAGGTTTTGTAGGCTTTCTAAGGGGCTCGGCAGGGCTTTCCTAAGGTTCAGGACAGGAATCTCAGGTTTTCTAGGCTTTCTAAGGGGATTAGGAGGGCTTTCCTAAGGTTACAGGATAGGAATCTCAAGGTTTTGTAGGCTTTCTAAGGGGCTAAGAAGGGCTTTCCTTGCTTGCTGAGGGGTTAAGAAGGCTTTCCTAAGGTTTCTAGGCTTACTAATTAAGGGGTTAGGAAGGGTTTTCCTAAGGTTCAGGACAGGAATCTCAAGGCTTTCTAGGCTTACTAAGGGGATTAGGAGGGCTTTCCTAAGGTTACAGGATAGGAATCTCAAGGTTTTGTAGGCTTTCTACCCCGAGACTCCCGATTCCCTCTAATTGTTTACTTAATTGTCTTAATTAATTAATCAAAGCCGGGTGAGGGATCAAAAAAAAATTAAATAAGGATCAAAAAAAAATTAAATGGAAAGATCAAAAAAAATTAAAATAAGGATCAAAAAAAAATTAAATCACTCAAAATACAGCATTTCCTGGGGCAGAGGCATCAAAAAAAAATTAAAATAAGGATCAAAAAGAAATTAAATCACTTAAAATACAGCAATTCCTGAATTTTTCCAAGGGAAAAATGGATTTTCTTTTGTTTCCTTAGGATCTGTTTGGTTTTTCCTCTGGAAAACACGATATTCCTGCGGATTCCGTGGTATTTCCCTAAGTTGTCCTTGAATTTTTCGTAGGGAAAAGCATATTTTCCTATTACCTATGGCGTTCGTGTCATTTCTTCAGGTTTTCAGAAGGACAACATATGGTTGTTCCTCGGGAAAATCAAATTTTCCTTACAATTTCACATTTAGGACGGATTTCCTGTTGTAGCTGTTGCTGGTATTCCGCTTCATCATCTATCTTAAACACGCCCCTCATTTGGCGATTCTGGTTCAGCATGTATCTACAAGGGCGGAGACGCCCTCATTTGCTGGGTTTCAAAAAAAGGCATATGCTTCAAAGCAACCCTGCACGGCTTAAAACAGCGGGGGGGTTGGGGGGGGCGCAGCCCCCCCCATTTGCAGAGACAACGTTCACATGATGGGCTTCGAAAACACTCTTTGAATCAAGCTTGCACGTCTCGAAAAGCGCGGCGGCGGGTGTTTTGTTCTTCCGTGCCTGTTCGTGTCTCTTCTTCCGTTAGCATTCTAACCCAGAAGAACGACATAAGATGGTTCGACAACACAAAAATGGTGTGACATTTTCTGACATAACAGAACCTTGCTTCTTATAGCATATAATAGCATACTAAAAATACAACAATGCAATATAACAGAAGATGACATAGAACAAAACAACATCTTAGTTTATAGTGTAGTACAAAAAAAATTAAATGGAAAGATCAAAAAAAATTAAAATAAGGATCAAAAAAAATTAAATCACTCAAAATACAGCATTTCCTGGGGCAGAGGCATCAAAAAAAAATAAAATAAGGATCAAAAAGAAATTAAATCACTTAAAATACAGCAATTCCTGAATTTTTCCAAGGGAAAACAATGTTTTTTCCTATGGATTTTCTTTTGTTTCCTTAGGATCTGTTTGGTTTTTCCTCTGGAAAACACGATATTCCTGCGGATTCCGTGGTATTTCCCTAAGTTGTCCTTGAATTTTTCGTAGGGAAAAACATATTTTCCTATTACCTATGGCGTTCGTGTCATTTCTTCAGGTTTTCAGAAGGACAACATATGGTTGTTCCTCGGGAAGATCAAATTTTCCTTACAATTTCACATTTAGGACGGATTTCCTGTTGTAGCTGTTGCTGGTGTTCCGCTTCATCATCTGTCTTAAACACGCCCCTCATTTGGCGATTCTGGTTCAGGATGTATCTACAAGGGCGGAGACGCCCTCATTTGCTGGGTTTCAATTAAAGGCATATGCTTCAAAGCAACCCTGCACGGCTTAAAACAGCGGGGGGGTTGGGGGGGGCGCAGCCCCCCCATTTGCAGAGACAACGTTCACATGATGGGCTTCGACAACACTCTTTGAATCAAGCTTGCACGTCTCGAAAAGCGCGGCGGCGGGTGTTTTGTTCTTCCGTGCCTGTTCGTGTCTCTTCTTCCGTTAGCATTCTAACATAGTAAACCAGAAGAACGACATAAGATGGTTCGACAACACAAAAATGGTGTGACATTTTCTGACATAACAGAACCTTGCTTCTTATAGCATATAATAGCATACTAAAAATACAACAATGCAATATAACAGAAGATGACATAGAACAAAACAACATCTTAGTTTATAGTGTAGTACATTGTAACATAGTACAATACAGCGTGTATATTTACAACATAATATGTAGTATATTTTATAACATTAGGTTACATTATGTTATATTATGTTACGGTACATTACGATATTATGGTAAATTCGATTGGACTATGTAGTATCCTGTTGCTTGTATCTTTGTTTCTGTGATTCTTTCATATTCTTTCTCTTTCGTCTTTTCCAACTTTGCTTTTTTATTCTGGACTTCTTTCTTTCGTTCGCTCGTTCATGTCTTTTCTTTCTTTCTGTTGTTCTTTCTTTGTTCATCGCATACTCCCTTTCTTTCTTGCTTTCTTTCTGGTTTGATTTACTTCGTTCTTTCTTTGGTTCGTTCTTGCTTTCGTTCTTTCTTTCGTTTTTACTTTCGTTCTTTCGTTCTCTCTCTCGTTCTATCTTTCTTTCTTTCTGTTTTCCTTTCTTTCGTCCTCTCTCTCTGTCTTTCTTTCCTTCCTTTTTCGCCTTCCTTTCGCGGATACCCGTTTAATTTTTTTTGATCCTTATTTAATTTTTTTGATCCTTATTTAATTTTTTTTTGATCCTTATTTAATTTTTTTTTAACCCCTATCCCATGACACCCAGACCCTAGCTGCGACCCCGCAACCCCCTTCTAATTTACTTAAATATTCAAAGCCACCCAGACCCTGAGCCCCACTCAGACCCCTGACCCCTGTCCGGGGCTACCGGTTCCAAATTAAAGAGACCAAAACTTTTTGGTCGGGGGGGGGGGGGGGTACCCTAGTACTAAACCGACCGCCACATTACCTTCAAAGGTCAATTAGGGATACCTGCCATAGGTACTATAAGGGTTCCGGTGAGGGTATTATAAGGGTTCCTTTAGCGTTTCCTCTACGGGTTCCTTTGCCAGCAAACTCAAGCAGACCGTCTACAGAAAGGCGAACACTCAAACCGCAAAAACCTAAACCCGCCAACACCCCGGAACCCCAAATCCTGAAAACCCAAACCCAAGACACAAAACTCGAAAGGCTATAGGTCAAAATCCCAAACCCTAATGCCACCGTTGTCCAACTCTTCGAATCGACCTGGAAGGAAACTTTTTTCAAGTTAAGAGCCTTCAGGAACACATTAAAATCCTGCCCACCTAAAAGCCAGATGATTGCCCCTACATGAAAACACCCCAAACCCTAAACCTAAAACCCACACGTAACCCAACAAGAAAGACTGGAATTCATCCGAGGAGCCCCGAAATTTGCAGCTGCAAGCTGCGGAGAGTCTCTTCATGCCGGTCCAACCGCGTCTTCACCTGTTAAGGGTTCACGAGGAATAGCAATTAGTAATAATAGTAATCATCGTAATTATTGTAAGACCATAGTTTCTGTAGGAGTTTAGGAATGGGTTCGGCGAATTTAAATCAGAAGAGGGCGTTGACTGTTTCGCATAGAGTGGTTGTATCGGGTGCGATGAAGTGTTACGGGTTTGTAACAAGACACGAGGACGAAAACGAAGGCTTTGGCAGGCTACCATAGGGGCCTTAGTCATTGGCATAGGGTTTTGGGCTCATTATACTCTAACTACAGTAATGCACCCTCAAAATAGTATTGGGAACTGTTAAGGCTCCTGTATTGAGCTAGGTCAACCCTTCAGACCACCTCGTCCAGCTGCGGGCCAACCGATGACCGAACCGCACTCACCATCAGCGTCGCACTGGAGCTGGACCTGGTTGGAAATGCCTTTAATTAAGGATTTCTCATGAGTTATGGCGGGATACTGGAGGGATCCTTGACATAATGATTGCAGACATATTCTTTAACTAAGGGAAGGTTCAGGGTGCGTCTTGTTCAGGGTTTAGGCAAGCTGGTTGGGGATTCGGGCTTCGTGGATTTAGAGTTCAAGGGTTTTGGTATGGTGTTGAGGTTTCCGATTCAGAAGACGCAATTGCATGGAATGCCGTTTGAGGCAAGTTCCGGGAAAACAAAGAGTAACTGCTTAGTTTCACCACGAAGTATTCGAAAGTCCTGTGGCGGCCGCCTTGCTCGCACAAGCCTGCAACTCTAAACCGTGATCCTGAAACCCTAAACCCTAAACCCTGATCCTTAAACCCTAAAAGCTGATGCTTAAACCCTAAACCCTAAAGCCTGATCCTTAAACCCTGAACCCTGCTCCTTAAACCCTAAACTCCGTACTTGGGTATATAGGTACCGGTACCCCAGGGCCCCAGGGTCTATACCCTTTACAGTGCCAGAGTCCCGTGAGAAGAAGACATTGCCGACGAGGTCTGCGGTGCAGGCCGCGACTCTTGGCAGATATGCCTCCAGCCAAGTGGCAGAAAGCACAAACCCAGTTCTCCGGTGTGCAGCGGGCTTTATGAAGGTTCCATAACACTGTGTGTACAACTCAACACCGATCGATGCTGGAGCGCGGCACTTGTTTGGCCTTTTTGCCACTGCGCATGCGGTGGCAGGCGTCGCAGCTGAGCTTGTAACTGCTTGGGGGTTCATGGGACTTAGTAAGTACAGCTATAAGCACTCTAACTAGGATTACAAGTACATATAAGTGTAGTTACCCTCATGATCACCCTATAGTTACTAAGTCCCATGAACCTCTAAGTGGGGTTCTGTGCCGGGCACCACTCGCAAGGGCAGCTGTCCGAAGACCGCGCCGGGGCCACAGGCGACTGCGACGGACGAACCTAACCATAAACCATATAGGATAATCCCCATACCCTAAGGTTCAAAAGCGCCCAAAAGTCTTACATAGTATGGTCTTTGGGCCCAGAAGCCGTAACATATGAGTAAGGATGCTATACGGGAGTTTCCGAACCTACCCCTAAAACCCCTAGACCCAAGGTGCTAGAAGTATACAAGGGTGCTATCCAGGGCTGAGGGCATAAGGGTCGTCCATATACCTGGATAGTATACTTAAGCCTTCGACGGGTCCTTATACTAGACCTAAGAATAACCTAGGAATAAAAAGCGTGCCCTTTTTGGTTTAGAGGGGGTTATAGGGCAACCTAAACCCTAAAAAAGGGAATAAGGGCCTGCTCTGGGTCCTAATTCTAAGGACCCCCAAAATAAGTTACCCCTAATTTTCGGAAACTCCCATACAGTAATCCCCATATAGTTACGCAGTCATTGTGTCTGCTGAGGGTTCCGCCTCAAGCTTACTCCGTCGAATCTTGTGGAATGGGATGGAGGGAGATTAGTTCAGGGCTAGGTGATAACTAGGCCTAACAGTAACCAACGAATGTAAGGGGTGCCCGGTTTTGTTTAAAGGGGGTTATCAGGGAACCTAGACCCTTAAAAGGGGAATAAGGGCCTACTCTGGGTCTTAGATAAGGAGTTGGGGCTGGGTTTGGCGTGCAAGGCTAGGGATGTTTCGGGTCGAGTCATCTTGGGAGCTTAGTGGCCTTCCTAGAGCGTCATACCCTACTACCCACTTTTCTAGGATACCTCATTTTTTGGTCAGGATCTTGTACATGGAAGAGTAGGTACCCCAAAACAGTAGGGTATGACCATATGTGTATATGATAGAAGCCCACAAATTGGAAACACAATAGCTTCAACCCTTAAGAGTAATGTATAGGGCATCCCAGCACGAATTGTCCTTTATCAGGTTTCCAACTTTTGGGGGTCTAGTATAGTTAGGGTTTAGGGTTTAGGGGTTTGGGGCTTCGTGTTTTAGGGATTAGGTTCCCGCAAACGACATCTTAGCGAAAGTTCAATTCCTCGTGCAACAGTGCCCGAACGACAAGTACCCCCACCTCATCTCTGCTGCATTGGAGGTGTTCTCCAGCCTCGGCTCTCATCGCTACATGGGAGTTTCCGAAAATAGGGGACCCTATTATAGTACCCCTAAATAGTAGGATCCTTCTCATAATCCAAAATAAGGTACCCCTAATGTTCGGAAACATGGATGTGGCATCTTTTGTGGGTGCTGACTGACGGCTTGGGAACTCCATGCTTGCGACGTACAGCCGCAGTACCCATACAGGGACTACTTTAAGGGCAAAGTATATATATATATATATATATTATTTGGGTACCATGGACCCCTAGTCCCTAAACCCTACAGAACCCTTATAGAACCCTTTAAAGGAACCCTTAAAGGAACGTGGACCGTTTGGATAAACAACTTGAGGAGACGTCATAAAGGCTGCGCAGTGCAGCAGATGCCATCGCAAGCACAAATCCGGGTTCACCCTAAACCCTAAACCCTAAACCCTAAACCATAATCCCTAAACCCTAAACCCTAAACCTTTAGGGGTGTAGGAGTTTAGGGTTTAGGGCCTTTAGAGTTTCGGGGTTTAGGGTAAATTACAGGGTCTGCGGTTTAGGGCGTAGGGTTCAGGAGTTTAGGAGTTTAGGGGTTTAAGGTTTACATAGGGGATGTCTCATCTGAGAGCACCGCCGCGCAAATCCTATCGCACCTAAACGGATGCAAAACTCCCAAACCATTGACTCCATTGTGGGATGCTGCGGTTGTCCACCTAAAGCACCGTCAGGTTTTTTATAACTAGGTGTTAGAAGACAGTAGTTGTACTTACAATGACTTAAACGCAATCAAGGTATGCATAACCTGACTTTTTACGTACAGTGACCCTCCAAGCAATACTTTCCAAAGCTGCTCACGGTTAGTCCTGCCCAAGCTGCGAATTTAAACGTCGCAAATGCCTTCCTAACAAAATATGGTGTGGTAGGTTGCTGTACTCCCCGCTCTAGGTGCCGATTTACCCTACACCCTTACTTACTTGAACCTGAGCCCCACATCGGCAAGTCAACCCAAATGTGCAAGTAGATCATCCAAGAGGCTGTCTGATTCGTTCCTCCAAGTGGAGTTGGAACTGATCTCGTGAGTCCTCTGCAAGCTGACAGTGATCCGCGAAGGAAGGCTTTGCATGACCGCTACTCCCCCAAGCAGTATTTGGAGGTTCAAGGGACTTAGTAACTAGGGTCATAATTAAGGTAACTACACTTATATGTACTTCTAATCCCAACTAGGGTACTAATAACTGTACTTACTAAGTCCCCAAAGCCTCCAAGTATGGCAGACACTATGGAGTCGGAACGTGCAGAGTCAAGAGAACTGCCGTGTTCCCCCTTCCACGAAAAGATAACTTCAAACCCTAAACCCTAAATTTTATATAAGCCCTAAACCCCTAAACTTTAAACCTTGATTGACAAAACGGCCTAAACCCTAAACCCTAGACTATACACTCTACCATAATCATGCCAGCAGTCCTGACACCAGAGACTCCAACATCCCTTAAAACGGAAAACCTTAAACCCAAGTTAATTATGGGATATTGGAGTCTTAGGGAATGCATATCGCTTGAGTATCCTGTTTTTCGAACTAGGATCCTCCGTTACATAAAACCAGTTGTCCAATTTTAAGGGTATGATCCTTTGATAGAAAAGCTGGTCATCCTATTTTCAGAGCAGGATCCTCTATTGGGAAAATTGACAATCACGTACAAGGAAACCCTTTAAACCATGAATCAAAGCCTTTGAAAGCCATTGCTGGAAACCCTCAAACGGTTTAGGGTGCAGGGTTCAACCCTGGCCTCTACGCGCTGCAAACGATCCTGGATCCTTCTCAGCAGCACGGCATTCCTTAGGTTTTGGTTCACTCAGCTTAGAATGTTACGCTGCCAGGGTGCAGGGTTTACGGAACAGGGGTTTGGGGCCCACTATACTATAATGATAATCAGGAGCTCCCACAATAGTATACGTACTTATTTGGACCCTATAGTACTTGGAGGATCATAGGACTTAGTAAGTAACGTTATAAGTACTTTAACTGGGGTTATAAGTAACTATAAGTATGGTTACCCTTATGTATAACCATGTATAACCCCAGTTACTAAGTCCCATGATCCTTTAAGTGCCATCGGTTTCACGGACTAAACAGGGCCTGGGGCTTCAGCGCCAAGTTGAGGGTTCAGGGTCCAATGTCGGGTTCCTGTCCATGGGGTTTAGGGTTTCGGGGTTTAGGGTTTAGGGGGGTTTAGGGTTTAGGGTTTGCACCCAGCAGCCTGTTGCTGCTTGAAAAGATAGACCCAAGCATGTCACGCTGGTGACTTGAGCTCCAACTTCCAATGCCACCACCCCTTCGAAACGCTAAATCCTCAAAAGTCCCAAGCTCTACAGGATTGCGCGCACAAGTGTCTGGCCGGTATACCGGTGTTCTGGCGACAGCGGTTCCACCGTGGTGGTGCTGCCTTGGTTTCGTGTCCGCGCGCTTCTCTGAATTTGGCTCCTTGTTCGGTGACTTCTGGGGATCCGACAGCGGAGAAGTGCTAATACACTACAGGCTATAATATTATTGGAAGGTACTCCGGTGTTCGGTGACAGGCTCAGGCTCACGTCGGCAGACAGGGATGCTAGCTGCTTCTTTCCAGAAATGTGGTACTCCTTTTGAACCTTGCAGTGCTGAGTCATAGGGACCCTGAGGGGGGTAGGGGAAGTAGGGGGCCTTAATGCCCATAATAAGGACCTACTAAGGCCTATTTAAGGAAGTATAGTCCCCTACCCCCCTCCCCCCCTACCCCCCGGAGGGTCCCTATGACTGAGTGAAGGCCCGAAGCACTGATACCCCAGCTTTGCTGGAACGGAAAGCCTGAAGCCTAGCAGTCTACCATGACCCCCCTTAGAACCATGATAAAAATGAAGATAATGTTTCTAATATTCTCTTGGGTTTTACATGCACAAAAATACATCCTAAGGAGACTATAGTCGATATCCTGGCCATAAACTCTAATCCCGTGTCCAATATGCTCAGTATGAGTGCCATTGGTCCGGGTTTTCTGCTGATCTCCTGTCATTGCGGTGGCAACTTCCCACTGGGGTACATGAACACATCGAAAGCGAACTATGAAAAACAAAGATGAAGTAAATCTGTCCGTCTATCCGTCTGTCCGTGCGTCCGTCGTTTTACAATTCTATAGATCATATATAGATCAACCGATCTATCCGTCCGTCTGTTTATCTGGAATTTGATTGTTTGTGGGGGTTGAAGTTTGAGGTTTATGGCTTATATCTGGCTTTGGGCTCAAAAGTTCCTAAACCCTAGACCCCAACAGTTTAAAGCCTCGTGCTCTCCAAACCCTCCGCTTTCTCAGCCAAAGCTCCCGCCGACAGCTGTGACACTTGCGTGAGCTGCTGTGAGGCCCGCTGTTGCTGCTGGCCTGGAGCTCATTATCCGCTAAAGGGTTCCTGAAATGGAGGTCTATAAGAGATACTATAAAGTTACTGTAGTACAGGGGCTTTAATTAATTAGACCAGGGTTTTGGGGCCCAGTATACGATAATGACAACTCATAAGGAACACTCAAAATGGCTCTGGTAATGATTTAAAACCTAGATGGCAGTTTCCGAAAACTACGGGTACCTGATTTTGGGGTCCTTATATATTATAATAAGGATCCCACCATTTAGGCTACTCTATCAGGGTGCCCTACTTTCGGAAACTCCCCGATGCCCTGTTACGGTTTAGGCTTGAATTGGAGGCTCTATAAACCCTAAACCCTAAACCCTAAACCCTAAACCCTAAACCCTAAACCCTAAATCTAGGGTGTGCCCAGACTGGGGGCTTCAAGGGCTTTAGGGGTTTACGGGTCTTCATAGGGGTTTAGGGCTTCTGGGCTTTAGAGGGGTTAGGGGTTTAGGGTTTTGGGCTTTAGGGGTTCAGGGTTTAGGGGTTTTGGGTTTGGGGGGCTTGCGGCTTGTAGGAACTTTCAGGGTTTTTGAGACTTGGGATTTCTTCATGGTGGGTGTTCCTCGTGGCTAAACCGTATGTAAACCGAAACACTAAGCGCTGAACTGTTCTGGGTCGTTAAGTACGATACGCTAGAATCTGAACACGGAGGCCTGAACTTACTTAAGCAAAGGTGGCATCCTAAGAACTGCAAGGACACCACGATGCTAAAAGCACACCATCTCTTCTAGAGGGTAACCAGGGTTGCTGAACAAATCCAAGCCGCATATGAGCACCGACTGCTGGAGCCGTGCCACCTCAGCCAGTTGCCCCGCGACCTTGCAGAAACTATTCTCAGCTTTCGCGGCATGCTGCTTCATACTGCTATCGCTGCAACAGCACCACTACAAATCGCAGCATTGGTTGCAAAAACGTGACAAACATTTCTCTGCGGTGGGCTTGCCTTGGCATCGGCTTCCTTGACGTCCGCCTGGCAGATGAGCACTGCCGAAGTTCGAATATTCATGGTGTAAACCACCACCTGGACCGTATAAAACCTACTTGTTGTAGGGGTTCATGACTTCCTGATAGAAGTCCCAAACCCTGAACCCCAAACCCTCTTTCGGGGGTTCATTACTTTGACTTCCTGTTAGAAGTCCTCAAGGCAGGCTCTTTGACGTTCAAGCACCGCCTTCCCCAAGACACGGTCCCTAAGGGTCCAAAGGACCCAATAATTTTTTACGACCGCCATGCGCCACCAATGCTGTTATGGTAAAGGGAAAATCGTCGTGCAAAGCGCGTAGGCGCTGCCGCCAAGCGAGCGGAGTAGCTGGGGTGTTTCTGAAGGTACTGCTTCAGACCCAAGAAGTCTACTCTTAACTGGGAGGAGTAGCCGCGCTGTGTTTTGACGTCCTGTTGGAAGAACTCCAAAGCTTTATCCGATACTATTCCTAGCCAGTGCGGGGGGGGAGGACCACGTTTGCTGTTCTTTTGGATGCCTACTCTATCTTTGTAACCTGGGGAGAAGATTACGTGATGAATAGGGTCATTGTGAGGAGTAGCCAGGCTGGTAGAGCTGTTGTAGCTGCTCCTGTAGTATTATTTGGGATGGGAGAACGGGCTGTTCCGCTTTTGGCCAAACTGCTTTGTTGGTGATTCGGGAGTAATATGCTGCTTTGATGCCTACCACTCTCCTTAGGAACTGGAAGTACCATCCGTCTATTTTCTTGAAATGTTTGTCTTCCAGGGTGAGTGTACATAGGCCATAAAGGAGTACTGAAACGACGTAGGATCTGAATATGGGACCCAATAATTAGGTACTTAGGTTTCGGATAGTAATTATGTAAGTTACTATTTGAGAGAGTATATGATTACTAGGTGTCTTGAAGGCAACAACTGGAAAGTAGGGCAAGAAGCTCGTCCATGAACCCTACTTAAAGGTTCATGGGAATTAGCAACTGGGGTTATAGATAGGTAACTATACTTATGGTTACTTATAATTATAACCCCAGTTCAGGTATTTATAACTGTACTTACTAAGTCCATTGGACCTCCAAGTAAGCCCAATCAGAAGTGTTGAATCTTGGCGGGAGAATCACAAAGTCTATAAGTTTTTGACTGAGGTAACCAGGAAGCCCATCAGTTTTGCAAGTTTTGCAGACTCGTCTTTGCAGTGGCCTTGCAGACCAGGCTTCATCCCAAGGGTCCACATTCCCACATAGTACATGAATACTTTAAACCTTAATGAGTAACCCCTCTTTAAGTAATCGATGATCCAAGAATATACTAAATAGGAGTTTCCGAAAATAGGGGACCCCCATCTTGCATCCCAAATAGTAGGATCCTTGGTGTAGGGACCCCACTATGTTCCCCTCATTTTCGCAAACTCCCATATGGGTGGGTACATGGACCCTTAGGGTCATGCCTCAGGGCCCGCGCGGTGTATTCGGATAAGGAGTTATTCGGGGTGGTTTGGGTAGGGAACTTTCAGCCGTTGTGAAATTGTTCGGTAGTTTCACCTCCATAGATACCTTACAAAAACCTTAAAGGAACTGTAGAGATCCCTCAAAGACCCCTGAACCTCGAAAACCCCAAACCCTAATAGAACCCGAAAACCCTTTAAAAAGAACCCAAAAGATCCCTTTAAAGGAACTGTAGAGATCCCCTTTAAGGAGCCCTTTGATGGAACCCTGAGTTAAAGGAGCCCTTTAAAGGAACCCTAGAGATCCCCTTAAAGGAGCCTTTTTAAAGGAACTGCAGAGATCCCCTTTAATAAGCAAATATTAGGATAAGGATATCCCATATAAACCCCCCTATAAGGAAGCCCATGATGGTAGGGATATCCCAGTACAATGCTTATGCTTATGTGCTTCTTTGTCCCCTAATGTAAGGCGGCCTGGCAGATCGAGAGCTTCTCTGTGAAGGCGCGGACCTCCCCGGTCAGCCGGGCCTCGCGGTTCGCCGTCTCCTGTCTAGGGGTTCAGGGGCTTAGGGTTTAGGTGCTTAGGGTTTGGGGTCTTAGGGTGGTAGGGTTTAGGCTTTAGGGGCTTAGGATTTAGGCTCTTAGGGTTTAGGGTCTTAGGGTCGTAGGGTTTAGGGGCTAATGGGTTTAGGGGCTTAGGGTTTAGGGTCGTAGGGTTTAGGGGCTAATGGGTTTAGGGGTTTAGGGGCTTAGGGTTTTCTGGGGTTTTAGGGGTTTGGGGCTTTAGCGTTTAGGGTTTAGGGGTTTAGGGTGTAGGGGTTTAGGGTATAATGTTTAAGGTGTGGGGTTTAGGGGTTTAGGGCTTAAGGGTGTGGGGTTTACGGTTTGAGGGTTGAGGGTTTAGGGTACATAAGAGTGCTTTTTTGTGGGGGCCCGAATATCCATCAAGTAGCTACTATATTGGTACTTGCACCCTTTGGGATAAGGGTTGGGTCTAGGGCTTGAGGGTTGAGGTTTCGGGCATAAGGGTGTGGGGTTCAGGGATCGTGGGTTTATCATGTAGTGCTTCTCCGCTGCATTCCTCTGTCCTGGTAGACAACGTTTCAGTCTACAGACAATACCATCAGCGATGTTGCATGCACTTTTGATCCAGCTTGATATGGTGACCAAGACTTCCTCCTGTTGAGGTACTTGCAAATAAGCATCTTTGATGTCCAACACCACAATAACCCAATCTGGAAAGATGAAGTGCAGTATGAGAACCATTCTCGAGGCTGCGCTCGAGGCTGTAGGTGAAAACGTTTCCGATGTCGAGCTTGCTACGGCACGATATTCTCGTGCGACAATTCTGCATCTTCGCTTCCATCTGCCATCTCTGTGTCGCCAATCATACACCTCTCGTAGGTCCATCCTCTTCTCGTCTCCACAAGCATGTTTAGGGTTTAAGGGTTAGGGTGCAGGGCTTTAGGGTGTGGGGTTTAGAGTTTAGGGTTTAAGGGTTTCAGGGCTTAAGCGGTTCAGGTTTACGGTTGGGTTTTAGGGGTTTGGGGCTTAGGGGTTGGGCTTGTTGATTTGAGGGTTCGCCCGTATTAAGCAGCACTAAAAAGGTTAGGCTCGTTCGCGTCCAGGCAAGGGTTGGGGTTCAGGGTTTGAGGGTCGGGATTTAGGGTTTGAGGGTTTAGGTTTAGGGATTAGGATATGTTTCCCCTTAAGGGTTTAAGGGCTGGGGTTGAGGGTTTAAGGGTTTGGGATTTTGTGTTTCTGCTGCTTGGGATATGCAAGGGTTGGGGCTTAGGTTTAAGGTTTAGGGTTTCGGGTATAGGGCTTTACGCCGTACGGGTTTAGGGCTTAGGACTCTAAGGTTAAGGAGTTTAGTCTTGGGGTTTTCAAGCTTGGCAGGGCTCTTGCGTTTAAGGATGGTGCAACGGTTTTTGTCCAGACTTCTGTGAGGGTACTGGAGGGATACAAGGGTGCTATCCAGGGCTGAGGGCATAAGGGTCCATATACCTGGATAGTATACGTAAGCCTTCGACGGGCCCCTGTACTAGACCTTAGAGTAACCTTGGAATAAAAAGGGTGCCCTTTTTTGGTTTAAAGGGTGTTATAAGGCAGCCTAGACCCTAAAAAAGGGGAGAAGGGCTACTCTGGGTCCTCGTATATAGGTATTGTAGGGCCAAAGTGCGCATTTCCTGGACACACCGACACTTCGCGGCTCCATTAAGGACGTCCTTTAAGGGCAGTATATAAAGATTGCGTGATAAAGCTGAGGGCATGGGATGTACTGTTAAAGTTTCAGGACTCTGGGAATTCTTGAACTTGGTCTTTGGGGTTTAAACGGTTTAGCGGCGATTAGGCTATTAGCGTCTCGGAGTTTAGGAGCTTAGGGGCGTATGCTTTGAGGTTGGGGGGGGGGGGGGGACATGTGTACGGCCTTGGGACTTCTGCGATCGCGAGGGCTTTAGAAATTCAGTGGTTTCGGTCTTGACTTCTCAGGGTTTAGACGGTTCTGAGGTTTGCAGTGTTCAGGTTTCTGGATTCACCTTTTTGGTTGAGTGTTCCAGTTCACTACTCATGGCAAAAGAATCGACTCTAGCAGCCCTTTCTCCCGTAGCTCCTGCAACTCCGGTTCCTAAACCAGCCCTGCTTGGAGGTTCATGGGACTTAGCAAGTACAGTTATGAGTACCTTAGCTGGGGATATAACCTATTCTAAGTATAGTTGCCTTTTTGATGAACCTCTAAGTGGGCCGCAGGCCCCGAAACGCCCCCCAACTAAGCTGGCAGGCCCTCTCCTCTGCCTGCATGCGGGTCGTGTTCCTGAGCGGCCCAAACACACCAAAAGACCGGATCCTAAATTATAACTAATATTATGGCTTTAAAAATTAGAATAGCGCTTTGGGCCCATTATTCTGTAGTTATCCAATTATAGGGAACCCCCAAAATAGTATAGGTAATTATTAAGGTCCCTACAGTATTTACTTTGGAAGGTCATTACAGTATTTACTTTGGCCTTAGGAGAGCCTCCTATACTGTGAACTTCCGGCCAAAGATAGCACTACGTTGGTGAGGGTATGAACCCGTTCCGAGGTCCCAAAGGCTCCATGTACCTCTTTAGTCGATACTTAAGCCTTAAAGGGCTCCCTATATAATAGGTACATATTAAGGCCTGAGTATATACTAATTATGTGTGTGCGAACAACATGGACACATTCAACCCCTATGCCTATGCCCTCATTGCCCTAAGCTTGCAACGAGCCACAGTTTGCAACCGTTGACACTGGATCCCACCATAAGACTTAAACGCGAAACCCTGGAAACCCTGAATCCTAAATCCTGTCCCCTAGTTAAGCTAGAGCTTTTCGCCTCACATCCCAGCACCAGAAATAAAGCAGCGACGCTGACTAGATGCTGCGAACCGCACCAAGAGAAAAGCAACACAAGCTCCCTAAACCCTAAACCCTATAAACCCTGAACCCTAAACCCTAAAGAGACAGCACCTTGAACCCTCAACCAAGGTGCAGCTCCGACCGAAGCAGCGTGGCGCTTTTCTCCGCCTGAGTGCTCTGTGAGCGCTGTAGCCCTTAGGCTCTTGGGGCTCATTTAGGGTTCCTCTAAAGGGATCTATAAGGGGTCCTTTAAAGGGATCTATAGGGTTTAAGGCTCTAGGGTCTCATATTTCAAGGCTTTACTATATGAGGCTTTTGGGCTTACTTTGAGCCTTAGGGTAGCTGTTTGGAAGTGAAAGCTTCAGAGTTTACGGCAAACTTATCAGCATGACTTATGCTTGCTACTCCAGTGACGCTGCAGGTGTCCATATAGAGTGTCCCGAAAAACCTGCTCTGATGTCACTGTGCAGGTACAGTAACTATGCATACCACTGTCTATCTGTATATCTAGATATATCCATATGCTAGACCTAAGAGTAACCAAGGAATAGAACGAGTGCCCTTTTCGGTTTAAAGGGGCTTATAAGGGAACCTAAACCCTAACAATAAAAGGAATAAGGGCCTACTCTAGGTCCTAGTATATAACCATATGAGTACAAACCCTTCAAGATCCACAGCTAAGGTCGCAGATTGTGCATGGACCGATTTGTGTTCCCTCTGGGACCATCAGACAATCCCATATTGGAAATTTAGGCCCTACAGTGCCCACATACATGTATATATATATATATATACTCGATATATCCATAAGATATACATATATACACTCTCTTTATATATATATATATATATATGTTGATGAAAAACAGGTAGTTCTCGAAGCCAGGATCTCTTTGGGTCTCTTTTTACAAGGGTGGCAGTTTACAGTAGAAACCCAAAAGTTGGAAACGCATAAACCCCTATAGATCTCTTTAAAGGACCCCTTACAGTAGAAGCCCTAAAAATGGAAACCCCATAGCCTCAATCCTCAAGAGTAATGTTTAGGGAATCCCAGCACTATTTGGCCTTAATCCGGTTTCCAACTTTATGGGGTTTACTGTATGTTAGGGACCCAAAAAGGGGACCCTAATCTAGACAACTACCCCGAAACCTAAACTCCTGAATCCCTGAACCCTAAACCCCAAGACCCTAAACCCCTAAGCTTAAACCCTAAGCCCCTAAGCAAAACCCTAAGCCCCTATACTAAACCCTCTGCCCCTAAACTAAACCCTAAGCGCCTCAACCCTAAGCCCCTAAAACTCTAAGCCCCTAAACCCTAAGCCCCTCAACCCTAAAGATCCCTTTAAGGAACCCTATAGATCCCTTTAAGGAACCCTAAAACACCCTAAAAGAGCCTACTATAAAGCCCCTCAACCCTGAGCCCCTCAACCCTGAGCCCCTCAACCCTAGAGGGTGAGCTCCCGGCGGCCAACATGCGCCTTTCCAGGTCTGCGGCAGCGGCCTCGGAATGATTTTGAATTTAGCGCTTTGGGGGTTTCGGATTTAGGGTTTAGGGTTTAGGGTTTAGGGACCCTTTAATGGGTTTAGGATTTAGGGTTTAGGGTTTAGGGTTTAGGGTTTCGGGCTACATGACCTGGAAATCGCAAAGCCTACGGTTTTGAGGGTTATAGACCCTATACGCCCGATAACTAATTCCGGGGTCATACTTTCTTCATGGGACTTAGCAACTGGGGCTAGAAATCAGGTAACTAAACTTATGATTACTTATACTACCAGTTAAGGTACTTATAACTGTACTTACTATGTCCCATGAACCTCCAAGTAAATTTTTGTAAGGCTTCAGGCTGCGAAGGGATCCGCCTCCCTCGAGCCGTGAAGGACTTTCTAAACCGCAAACCCTCAAGCGCTTTCCACCCTAAACCCTACCTGCAGGATCCTATCCTACCCCTTTTGCTAGGGTACCTACTTTTCCAAACCATTAAGCTGGGTAATACCCTCAAAGAAGAGAAGGGGTAGGGTATGACCTTCAAGGTAGACTCTGAGCCTCGAAGGTTCTAAACATCTCTAAACCCTAAACCTCAAAAAGTCTACATACAGCCTAATCCGCTTAACCCTCATTTCCAACCACTTATCGATCCCATATGCATCATTTTAACCACGATTTAGGGTTTCGGGGTTAGGGTTTAGGGTTCTAGCTTTAGGGTTGCAGCAACCTCTACAGCCTAAACCCGACCGCCTCACAGACATGCGGCTGTTCGCAGGTCCAAGCCATCGTTCAGCAAGGCCCTTAGGTCGGCCAGCTGCAAGCGGAGAGTTTCCACCTCGGGTTTTTTTGGGGGTTCCTTTGAGGCTTCTTATAAACAAGCGATCTATAGGGTTTAGGGGTTAGGGGTTTTGTGGGTTTAGGGGTTTAGGGCTTATAGGCTTTAGGGTTGAGGGTTTGGTTTGGGGTTGAGAGTTTAAGCGTCTTACCATGAAACCATAGTATTCAATGTGCGTCCCTTCCATCAATGTGCGTCCCTTCCATATCTTTTGGTCTCAGAAGACCAAGTTCTGCTGGTTTGCACCGCGGGTTGTGGGTTGAAGAATTTAGGCATCGATGCATACAAAGTGCATTCACCGAAATATCAGAAGTTAAGACCGCATAGACCCCCAAATCCTCACCCGGCTTCTTACTCTTTTGCCACGTCCGCAAACCATACCACTTGTGAATTGCGAAAGCATATTTGGCAATTACGGTCCGGTCCCACCTGGCTCGGTGAATCTGTCGGAAGTTGCAAACACCCCTACACCCTCAACATCCCTCAACCCTAAGCCTCAAACCTTGAATCTTAAATCCTAAACCCTATATTCTGGTACCCTTATAGATCCCCTAGAGGAGCCTTGATAGATCCTTTCAAGGAGCCCTAGGTAGATCCCTTTAAAGGAACCCGAAAACGCCGAATCCTTCAACCTGCTCTCAAGCCCGAAAACCGTCAACCGGAAAGTACGCAAGCCCTTCTTAAGATCCAATTCAGCCCACTTCCTTAAGGCTCATGTACCCATATAGGAGTTTCCGAAAATTAGGGGTACCTTATTTGGGTTCCTTATAATAAGGATCTTACTGTTTGGGGTACTCTATTAGGGTCCCCTATTTTCGGAAACTGCCATATAGTTAGATACTTAGGCCTTAAAGGGGTCCCTATATAGGTACTTTAAGGCCTAAGTATATACTATCTGGGTACATCAAGCCTTAGGGCTTCCTGGGTCTAGAGGCAGTCGAGGGTTTGGGGTTGAGGGCCTGGGATGAAGCCCCGCTGTCCCTATACCGCAGATCCACCCCAAAGCCGGAACCTAAGGGCTCCTTAAAGGGATCTATAGTATTATAGGGTTCCTTAAAGGGATCTATGGGTTTTAGGGTTTAGGTTCTACTTGGAGGGGCAGGGGACTTAGTAAGTAGGTTATAAGTAGGGTTATAATTGGGGTAACTCCATTTAGGGTACTTATAACTCTACTTATAACCTACTTACTAAGTCCACTGCCCTTCCAAGAACCAACTACCGAGGCTCAGAAAACCCAACTTTTGGGGTTTACCTTAACCCTGAATAACCTACCTTTTGGGGGTTCCTTTTTGATTTCCTTATATAAGTCCTTAAAAAGGAGGGTTCGTCAGGGTTAAGGTAAGGCTTGACCGACTTTCCTGGAATAAAAGCCAAAAGACTATCTACAGTTGCAGAGCACTAGGCCTCCATTAAGGCTTTCTTGAGTGTCATCGTAAACCCTCCACAAACCCTAAAACATCCTTTTTGAAGCCGCGCAGAGCCCTCACAAAACCAGTGAAAACCACGAACCCAAACCTAAAACCCCTGGCTCGCAAAGCGAGCTCCACCAGACTTGGCAACCTCTGCGCCTTGTATCATCCACCCTTAACCCCAAACCCCAAACCGACCCTGTGTGCCCTGCCCTGCCCCCCCCTGCACTGTGCCCCCTGCCTCCTGGTTTCTGCCCCCTGCCCTGCCCCCTGCCCCTGCCCCCTGCCGCCTCACAAGAAAGAGCCATCGACAATCAAGCTGTAACGGCCAACCGTCATACTACCATGCACTCGAAATCACGCTGTCGCAAAAGATTGCCGCTTGTGCGCCATCCTGCGGCAAACCCTAAGCCCTAAACCCTAAACCCCTGCTTTCAACGACTGAAATCCTATACAGCAGAAGCCTTAAAGGTTGGAAACCCAATAGCCTCAATCCTTAAAAGTGATGTATATGGAATTTCAGCACTATTTGATCTTAACCCGGTTTCCAACTTGTTGGGGTTCCAGGAGGTCCAGGAAACCATCGGAAGCCAAACCCTAATCCCCAAAGCCACCTCGCTCTTCGTGCGCTGCATGAGGCGGCTCTCAGAGACTGCCATGAGCTCCTGCCATAGGGTTTAGGGGTTCAGGGTTTGTGGAGCCTAAAACCTACTGTTTTAGGGTTAGGCCCTATGATTAATGGGCTTGACCCTACTCTGTTTTACGGTTTGGGGCTGGAGGTAGGACTTAACTGTTGCAAGGTTCGTGGGGTTTTACAGGTGTCGATGAGGCCTGAATACTTAGAATAGACGTTTGGGGTATCTGCAATGAATAACCCAAGTGCAAGGTATTACTGGCTTCAACATTACCTTACTTCCGTGAGGCCGGCTCAGGGTCTAGGAATTGAAGGCAAGCGTAGAGGGATTCGGATTTGCAGGAATTATAGGGTCAAGGGCTTTGGTTGGGGCTTAGGACATAGGGTTCTTCGAACTCTGACAACTAGATCGCTCCGACAATGAAGGCCACAGCGGATATCCGTACCTAATAGCAGGTCTAACTGTCTACCTACTCAAAGCCGGTTTATGGTTTGGGTTTAGGGTTTAGGGTCAACCAGAAACCCGGCAAATGTGCGAACTCTAAACCCGTCAACTGACGACCGACACAATAACAACTCTAAGCCCCAAACCATCCTAAACACGCCCGAACCGATTCTGATCATTAAACGCTCAGGCTTCGCCATAAATCGCGAACCGACGAAAATGGCCCGCCTCCACAAGCTCATGAGGGTTTAGGGATTTAGGGGTTCAGGGTTGTGCGTTTTCCTATCCGAAGTGTACAAACTACCCAAAGGCCCCAAAGTAGTTCCTTTTTGGGATTACCTTATAGGATTCTATATATGAACCCCAAAAAGGAACTACTTTGGGGCCTTTGGGTAGCCTAATGTCGCATCTCCTCTGACTCTACTCCATGACTGGGAAATCAGTGAAAAATCGTGAAGACACGGTATAGGGTTTAGGGTTTAGGGTTTAGGGTTTAGGTCGGAACCATTTATAAACGTATCACCATGCAGTCCCCACGTAGCTATACTACGACATGCAAAAACCCTTCTGGTAACCTTCATAGCAGACCCAGGCGAATCTCGAAACATGCGCCCACATTCAAAGGTCAACCTTTGAGCCCCCTAAACCCGAAAACCTCCTTGGAGGTTCATGTGCCTTAGTAAGTATAGTTATAAGTGCCTTACCTGGGACTATATCTAACTAGTAGTATAGCTACCTTATGTATTACCCTAGTTATATATGAAGTCCCATGAACCTTAAAGGAAGCCCCAAGCCCCGACACCATCGACCCTCGGCCTCACCAAACTCTGAACCCTCAACCCTAAACCCTAATCAAACCCCAATCCCTAAACCCTAAACCCTAATCAAACCCTAATCCCTAAACCCTAAACCCTAATCAATCAAACCCTAACCCAAATCAACCCTAAATCCTTAAAGGATCCCTTAAAGGATCCTTTACAAGAGCCCTGAAGGGATGCCTCTAAGTTCAGCGCCAAGTTGCCTCTGTAGGGCCCCAAAAAAACCACATAAGCAAAAAAAAAGGATAGGGACATCCCATATGGTTCCTTGAAAGGGGTCTATAAGGGTTAGTATAAGGGATCTATAAGAGTACTATAATGAAGAAGGGTAGGGACATCCCATAGAATACCCTTATGATGAAGCCCATAAGGTGAGATATTCCTATTGAAATGCTTATGCTGATGTCCTGATTTGGGAGTTTCCGAAAATAGGGGACCCTTATGTAGTACCCTAAATACTAGGATCCTTATTATAAGGACCCCAAAATAAGGTACCCTCTTATTTTCGGAAACTCCCATTTGGGTGCCTAAGTAAACCCTAAACCCTAAACCCTGAACCCTAAACCCTAAACCCTAAACGGCCCTAAACCTCCTCTCCTGCACCTCCGTCATAGCCGCGCGAGGGCTGCTCTCCAGCTCCAAGCCCGAAGCCATGCGCTCCTCTACTTGGAGGGTCGGGGGGCTTAGTGACTGGTTATTTTAAGGGTCCCTTTAAAGGGATCTATAGGGGTTCCTTAAAGGGGTCTATAGGGTTTAGGGTTTAAGGTTCACTTCAAGGATCATGGGACTTAGTAACTAGGGTTATAAATGTGGTTACCATACTTATGATTACTTATAACCCTAGCCCTAAAGGGAACACCAGAAAGTTGGAATATGGTTTCAGGGTAGGATACCCCATAATTTACCATAAAGGGTTTAAGACAATATGATTAGTGAGTAGGTTATAAGTAGGGTTATAATTGGGGTAACTCCATTTAGGGTACTCATAACTCTACTTATAACCTACTTACTAAGTCCCCTGCCCTTCCAAGTATGGAGTGGTTCCCAGACAAACTCCAACTTGATTAAGGGATACCTTTTAAAGGGATCCGTAAGTTTGGGGACTCAACATCCCTTAGCTAAGGAATATTTACTTCAATGGTATTGGGGGTCCGACTATATGCAAAGGTATATTCCTTGATTCAAGGATATGGGAGTTTCCGACAGCAGGGGACCCTAACATAGTACCCTAAATGGTAGGATCCTTACTATAAGGACCGCCTGGGCCAGGACCGTTCGAGGAGGGCCGATTGCCGGAACTTCCCTTTGAACCCCGGCTTCGGCTGGTAGGTCATGCGCAGACCACATTTGTCGCACGAGCTCCAGCTTGCGTATTGGTTCGCCTGGGCCCGGCCTTCTCGGTGGGTCCCCAGGCACGACCATCCCTCGTGGCGAGGGTCGTCGTCGAGGGCTACCGGGAGCACTTTGGGGGCCATGAGGGCGCCGCAGATGTTCCAGCTTGAGCCGCAGTCGCTGCAAGGATTGCCGCACCGTTCCGGGCACCGCTCCATGCTCAAAGGTACTCACCCTCGGCTCGGCAGGCTGCAGAACAAGGTGCCCCTAGTTTGTGGAAACGCAAAACCACACTAATTTTCGGAAACTCCCATATTTCAAGGATATTGGAGTCTCTGGGTTTAAGGCCACCTTGGACCCCACAAAACATCCCATCCTAGGACTATTTCTTATGATTCTTACGGTTGATGATATAAATCCTGCATTGCCCATATTCAGGAACATACCATATTTCCCATATTTCAGGGTCATTAGGGTAATGCAGGATTTATATCATCAACCGTATGACTTGCTGATCAAGGACTACCTGAACCCCCAAAAAAACAAACCTTTTCCGGGTGTCTTGCTATGATGTCCTTATAATAGTCCTTAACAAAGTGGGTTTTTCTATTTGGGGTTAAGGTGAACCCTGAACCCCAAATCCCATACCCTAAACTCTAAACGGTGCATCCTCTGGTTTAGCGGTTTAGCAGTGTCGCAAGCATAAATACCACGACCACTAAACTCTTATGAAAAGAACCCTGAAACCCTCAACACAGAACAGCTTCAATAGATGAAACCAAGTAACACAAAAACCCTAAACCCTGAACCCACCATAGCTTGGCTGACGTTCGAAGCCCCCCTAAAAGTTAAACTTTTCGCCTCCTTAATGTAGCTCATATGGAAACCCCAAAAGTTAAAGTCCTAAGATACAACCAGAAGAACGCCAAGAAATGACACAAAAGCCCTATACCCTAAACCCACCATGGAACCTTAAACCCATCGAAGCACTACAACCCTAGGATTGGCACCGGGCGAAGGCCCCCCAGATCCAGGGCGACCCCCAAAAACACAGGAGGCATACTTACGATTTAGGGTTTTAGGGTATAGGGTTTACGCTTACTTCCTCAACTGAAGGACCCTAAACCCTAAACCCCAAAGGAACAAGTCCCTGCTCCTGGAGTGTCCGCATAACGTCCTCCAAAGAAGAGAGATGCCTTTCGCAAGGTCTAAAGTTCCCAGAGCCTCCAAAACCCCTTAATTAAGGAATATACCTTAAATCATATTAGGGCTCCTATCCCTGTCCTTCCGCCACCTTACTTTTCAGGGTGGCGGGCAACCACCCCATTTCGTCCTCGAACCACCCAGTTTGTGGTACGAACCACCTTGCCTGATTTGTTGAAGATGTTTGTGTCCGCGACCATATCCAGGGCACGAACGCCCTCGTTTTGAAAGACGATTGCGGGTCCGAACACCCTGATCATAAGCAGGCATGAGCAAGGTCAAGTCCATAGGAATTTTGGGGTGGTTCTCCGCCCACATCATACTGCATTATTCATCACACATGTAGACACGTACCAGCACACCTCAGCCCAAACTTGCAAGCCCCGATCGATGTAAGCTCGCTTGCAATCGTCATGGCTGATGCGGCGAGCACTCCAGAGACGTGCGCCCCCGCCCACAGGGTTCATAGGACTAATGGCTGATTATCGATGGCAGGTACATTGTCGAATTATGCCGAAGATTTGGAGCTTGGCCATCCCTCCTGTGTTTTATGCATGCACAGCAGACTGCTCAGAATGAATGCTTCCACGCCGCAGTGTTTGCGAGCAGGGTTTTGGGGTCCGCCTGTCGAATTTTGGGTGTTTCGTGCTTATATTGGAATGGCATAGGTTTCCCGGATCCCTTGCCCATGGGGCCAGAGGCTTAGGGCTTGGCTCGCTGAAAATTTTCCATTCGCAATGCCGCCGAAGTCTATGCGGGTTGAAGCCCTGAAGGCCAGCGATCACCAATATTCGCATCTAGGGCTTAGGGCTAGGCTGTTCCTTATAATGCGGGCCTTAGCAGTATATTTATATAGGGCTGTATTTCATGAGTTGTGCCTCATGGCTTTGGGTACGGTCTTATATTGCTCCCATAAACCCGGCCCCTAAACGTTCCAAATCTCAGGCCTACGGGGATCCTTGTCGGTGGGAGCTTTTCTGGATCTGATATGTGGAGGGCTCTTTTCAGGCATTATTTGGGCCTTCGGGCTCATGATCCATGAGTGCCATGAGTAATTGGGCTTTATTTGGGGTCTTATTTTGGGGCTTGCTCAAACCCTGGTCCCTAAAGCTCAAAACTGACCCGGAAACTTAGAACGCCTGCTGGCCCTAAACCCGAGCCATAAACCCATAAGCCCCCTCAAAATCCTATATGTTTCCTCCGTGGGCACAGGCTCTCTATGCTCGACTGTTGAAGGACAAGGACGAGCGAATCATGTATTTGTTGATCAAGGCCGGCATAAATCAGAAGAAGGCCAAGAGAGCTCTCCTGCAGGGCAAGGCGGGAATGTGCGGCAGCCAGCTATAGATTTCCTGTGATGTCATGTGTTTTGGCAGATGCCGGTGGTCTACAGCTTCATAAATCTGGACGAGGGCACAATCAGTGCCGATTCGGTCCGCCCCCATGTTCAAGTCGTACTTATAACAATGAGTTGTTTTCAGCCTGCTCGCAAGGTGGAAGATGAGATCAACTTCAATTTTGTGGCTCGGGCTTTAGCTTGTCTGGGCTTAAAAAACCCGAGCTCGAACGAGACCAAGGTCAGGCCTGCATGATTTAGTACCCTAAACTCCCAAAGCCGCTATGCCTTAGACCCTAAACCCAGACAAATTGCCGTGCCAGGCCGCCCTCATAGATGTTTGCAACGACAGCAAATTGCTGGGAAAGCATGCACTTCCACACGTGGTCGAGGTCATCCCCTCAGCTTAACAATCCAGGTCTTTTGTGACTTTTGTGCGATATCTTTAGATTCCGAAGTTCATGTGAGGCCTGGGCACGGACTGAAGGAGACTTGCAAAGATGCTTGATCAGCTATGTTTTGGACCGCAGTCGCCGAAACACTGATGCTAGGCGGGATCCCATACTCAATACCGATCGTACACATTATGCATAAGACCTTTGAATGCAGGGGTGGCAGAGAGAAGATGATGATTCTGAAGACCCTCGTGCAAAGGCTTCGAAAGGAGGCAGCAAATGCCTCAGACACATCCTATATGTAATTAGCTATCGACCCCAGCCGACACAACCCTCGAACCCAGGGAGACGTGATGGATCGTGACCCATCCAGAAGGCCCACGAAGACTTCGTTGGGTGGTGAAGGTGGGTCATGTATGTCTTGGTTTTCGCCGGTTTCTTCCCTAGGCCCTAGTGTATTGCAGGTGGAAGCTCTTCCAAAGAATCTTCGGAGAAAAAAACCTCGGCTGAGGAGGCTGAGGATGAAGAGGACCTAGGTTTGGGCACCATGCTTAAACCGAATTGTGTGATCATGACGAAAGGACCGTGATGACCCGCCGCTGCACATCGATGAGAAGGGCATTGCAAAGACCCCGGCCCCGCACAGGAAGGGCCTTCGACCCGATGTTGAGCTGGAGTCCGATGGTGAGACCCAGGACCTGTGCTCACGCAGGTGTTGTTTGGTGACTCGTTGCATGGTATGCAGGAGGATGCCAAGGGAAAAGCTGCACAGCCGCCCGAGGTGGACAATGAGCTCCGGACAGCCGCAGAGGCACTTATGGGACATGCAAATGCCGGCAATCTGCTTGAAGTGCCTTACTCATTTTACTGTCGCGATCGGCTAGACATACGCAATCTCCTCAACATTTAAACTTAAAACCCAATCCTTGAGTCCAAGGTGCAAGCCAAGATCCGCCGAAGTGCTCGCATGGATGCCGCCGAAGGAAAGGAGCCTCCAGAGGAAGGGAGAGGCAGGGGAGGCAGAGGGCGAGGAAGGGGAGGCAGGCCAATGAAAAGGCCTGCAGCAGCTAAGACTGCTGCTGCACGAGGGGGTGAGGAGTCACACGATGATGAGATGGACAAGGAGGATGAGCAGCTCCAGCACGAAGTGGGGTTGGAGGAGGCCGAAACCAAGCACCCCAAGAAGGCAAAGGAGAACAAGAAGGCAAAGGACAAGGATCCGCAGGAGGATGAGGAGCCGAGACAGGAAAGGAATAAGAAGAAAAGGAAGGCCGATGCCGAGATCTCAGAGCCCCTGCCGGAGGAAGGAACCGCAAAGGAGGAGGAGGAGGAGATCGGAGGGGAAGATGAGGATGAGGACCGGGCGGGAGTAGTGCATGCACACACTATGATGCAAATTAAACTCCGGGTCCGTCTAAATTTGAACCAGGGCGAAGAAGGAGAAGAGGAGCCTCGAGAAGATGACGAACTTGTCGACGTGGGCACGAAGCCGCCAGAAGCAAAGCCGGCTGCAGCAAAGAAGGCTGCAAAGAAGGACTCGCCTCGGCTATGCCCCAAAACCACCTAAACCCCATGCCCCGAATCCCTACTGGCTGCTTTTTCATCGAGGGTTTATCGTTTCGGCAGGAGAAAGAGTCCGTGATCCCCAAGCTGAGTGCCCACAAGCTGGACCAGACACCACTTGCACGCATGCATGTGTGTGATGTGTGTGTGTGTGTGTGGCTAGCAGAGTACTCTAGCATATGCAATGACAATGCCGCCTTGAGTCGTGTGCAGGAAACCCGGAAACGCAATTTGGTGGCTGTGGGAAAGATCGCTCAGCACGACAAAAGAATGATTATTCCCGACCAGTACTATCTGGATCGCCACCAGCGAAATCCTCAACATGTTCGTCTCGGTTACTGGCTTTTGGGGGACTTTGCAATGCATTGCATAACTTAGGTCCTTCAACCTGAAAGCTTCCTCGATGAGCCAGAGCAGCATCCAAGTGCTGCTGCCAGTCACAAATTAAAGCACGCAATTGATACGGCCTAGGAGTTTCTTTTATCGATCAGGTTCCAGACTGGAGCCTGGTATATCCCGGACTGCAGCCAATCGCTTAACGATCGATGCAACAATGCCTGGGGCACTGAGATCGGAGCTCGGGCCCGAGAGATTTCCAAACACTTAATCCCAAACATTCGAGCTAGTTATGCCCAGGTCAATCGTTCGGGTGGAAGCACTATCACGTGGACACAACATGGAGGCTTTCGCGAGTCGTGCTGCTCACAGTTTATTGTTCACTTCAAATCCCGTTTCTAATCATAATTGCAGTCGTGACCCGTTTCCAGTAGCCTCGATACTCAGGTGGAGGAGGGCTCTCATCCTCGCCCGCTGGGAGGACCTGTAGCCGTAGCCTGCCTCAGCTGCAGGAATGAGCTTCGCGGTTTTTTGTGCACTTGTGCACACATGCTACCTGGCGAAGAGCTGTCGGCAGCAAAATACTAAAGCTGTCGTAAATCTGCTGCCCGCACAAGATGGAGTCGGAGCTTTGTTATGTTCCAGCAATCTCGCCCGCTAAAGTTTTGTGTCAAGCACACATACATGTACATGCATTAATATAACCGAACAACACATTTTGTGATCAGCCTGGGTGCACAAAAGTCGCACCGCTTGTCCAGCATGCCTCCTCCAGTCGATTCACGGGGCTTCTCGTCCGAGAAGATTGGATATTCCTTGGGTCAATAATTGGGACATTCGGGTTTAGGTTTGGGTTTCCGTACAGTCCTCAAGATTAGGGTGTTGTCATCAATTTAGCGGCAAAAAACAAATTGGGTGCTTGGGGTTTTCGGGTTATATATATATATATATATATCGGCATACGGAGTTTATAGGACCCTGAACCCTAATCCCCACGAGTTCTAAGTTCGATTTCCTCAAACCGGCTAGAGACCCGGGAGCCTGTTGCACGCATGAAGCGAGGATTGTGGATTATTATCATTTATCATTCAGCGGCCTAGGGCTTGGGCTTCTGGTCTTGTGTAGCTTGGGTCAGTTTGTGGTGTGCGACGATTAGGGTTGGTTTACGCTGGAGTTTAGATTTTCATGCTTAGGGCTTGACATTATTAGTGGTTAAATGCTCAGACATTATGTTCACGATATTGAGACATTTGGGATTAGGCTGGAGGCGAGGATTTGGGACTATTATATCATTGATCATTCAATGGACTCGGGCTTGGGCTTTTGGTCGTCTTGTAGGACGATTAGGGTTGGGCACTAGAGT